TGTTATCCGACACTGCCAGACCGTCATTCACATACACAACGATACCACCACCCTGACGATGTTCCCTGTCCCTCCGATAAATTTGGTATCCAAGCAAGGCTACTTCGTTATCGCTAATATTCCCGGACAGCCAGGTCTCAGTTACTGCTAAAACATCTGGAGACAGCTCAACAAGGCAAAGTTTTAGTTCGTCTAGTTTCGATATGAGGCTTTGGGCATTCGTGTACAAGCACCTCGGTTTAGCACCAGCCGAATTTCCCGTTGCATGTGTTACTGCTGCGAGCATTACTCCGTTATCGCGGACGTCGTGTTCTCTAGGCTCTTCCGTTACCTGATTGGTTCCATTTACATGCCTTGTTTCAGTCAGATCACTGGACGCTACGGGCTCACTTGTGTTGGCGCCTTGATCAGGTGGTTCAACGAAGGTGTCTGTTTTAGCTGAGTAGCTGTCGTCGTTCGTAGTATTACAGGCTGGTTCCACTGAAACGGCATATATTTCCGAACTACCTTCCCCTTGAAGATAGCCAGATTGTGTTCGCCATCCTTCAGTCTTGATTTTAACTCCAAGACAAGTTCCGGGCGTTTCAACCGTTCCGATGGTGAATAGTCCGGTCGAAAAAAACCTGTTTGTGTGTGTTTCTGAGATCGGTTTTTTAGAGAGGATAAACTTGATTTGCTCTTTGTTCTCCAGCATAATTTTGAGAGGGCGAGGTGGTTGTGCTACTGTCCTGTCTTCACTTCTTTTTCCTATCCGGAATGCTTTCAGAACCTTTATTTCCATGTCTGCCGGCAGTAAATGATTTAGCAGACCATGAAAAGAAGCAAGGTCGTCTGAGACACGGTCTTCAGGTCTTACTGCATTCGATTCTGACAAACCCTGAATAACCAGATACTGCTGGCGAGCATGGTCCTCCTTACTCTGTCTTTCCGGTGAATGCGCTGCATGTGGGCGAGGACGATTTACGGAGTCATCGCTTGGACGCACATTTTTACTGTCTACCGACTGTCCCGAGCAACCCATCAGGGCTGGCTGGGACTTTAGAATCCTGTCATGGCGTTTCCCTCTCCTCTCTACCCACTGGTTTAGGTCTTTACATTCAGGTAAGTGCTCTGGAGTGCGCTCGGTTAACGTGCGATTTGTTCAAGGTAATAAAGCGACTCATTAAGCGGCATTTTCTGACGTATCTGAAGCAGATGTGCTTAATATGTGCCGCTGAGCAGGGAAACTGCGTCACCTGCGCATTTCGAAGAATTTCGTCGTCAACGAAACGCCGTCAAAAAATGTATCCGTCAGGCACGGAAGGAGTATGAATCCAAAATTATACGACAGGCTGAACAGAAGCCTAAGATTTTATTTCACTATCTGAACAGTAGACTGA